CCCCCCCCCCCCCCCCCCCCTCCAAGAAAAGAACGCCTGCTCGTAGATTCCCCACCAATGCGTTCCTACGGTTGAATAAAAAGCATTAGTATACATACTCGTGTATTTTTATTTTAACTGAGTCTGATTCATCCAAGTCTTCCACCTGTCCCTCTAGGCTAAGTTCTTGAATTTGCTGTAGCAATTCTTGTTCTTCGGTAATCTCATCTCCAGCGCCATTATCATCACCAACATCATCGCCACCAACCTCAACGCCATCACTGTTATGACTATCGTCGTTATCATCGAACTCATCACCTTTATCATCATCTTCTTTCTTACTTTGAAAGTCGTCATCATCGTCGTCAGAAGATCGCTCTGTTGAAACAAGATGTGACATTACTGTTGTCAAACTTATGAATTTTTTTCTTTAAAATTTCGAAGTATACGTCTTTTACTTCAAGCGTGTGTGTGTGGCAATGTTGATCGCTGGAATCATATGTCAAAATCAGGGTTCTCCAGGAATTTAAAGTAGGAGAAGAAAAAATTTAATTAGGCGGCAATAGTTTAGATCGAATGGCTCGGTGACGCCGCTGCGTGTGAGGTCAGGTAAGGGATGGGGCACGCCCTGCTTCCATTTGGATCAAGACTAATGATCTGACATCTTATCGAATTTTTTTTAAGATGTGAATAAACTTAGCGATGCTTACGCTCAAATTAGGTGAAAAACAAATGCATTGCTTACCTTTTGACTCTCGGTTGTCTTTGTCTCGCGGCATTCTTACTTTAATAAATGCGCACATACGTTTGGACTGCCAAAGACCAATGGCGATCAAACCCTTTTTCGGAAAGGAAGCCAAGCACAAAGGCCGGTAATCCATGTCAAGCACACTTAGCAAATCCCCAGTCTTGACACTAAACAACTGAAGACATAAGCTTTCTGAAATTCGGTGATTCCCGCAATGTATTACGCATTCCGTGTCACTTACAAACGCATACCTCACAACGTCATCGACTGTACATAGTATACGGAGAGTGGCTCCTGAAGACGCATCAAGCACGTGTACATCTTGCCAATTTTGAGAGGTTTTTGCCGAGATTAGGACAAACTCTTCCGCTGGAGAAAATATTCCGGGTATATTCCAGGAGTACAACAGCTCGGAATCTTCAAAAACTCTTTTCCATAGTATACTTGTGCTATCAGACAGTTGGACGGAGTACCTATCGGTGGATAACAGCTGATATTTACTGTTACATACTATGGCTTCTTTATCCAACAATGGATATGTTGACTGGTATCCCTCATGACAAAGTGAGATGGTCTTCACTATTTCTCCACTTGATGTGTCCAGGATGCTCACTTCAAATTCTTTCCCCACACATGCTACACATTGGTCTGTAACTGGCATCATATACGTAACCTCACTCAACCTGGGCCAACTTTGGACTTGTTGAGACAACTCAAAATTCCATAGCTGAAGCGCAGTCCTACGTAAACGTTGTTTCACAAGGACACCATCGGTCACTGGTACAAGACAAATACCATTGTCAGAACCGTTTACGGCCCTAAAAGGCGGTTTAGGATAATGGAGATCACGACAAGTACTAATCTCTATCTTTGATTTACGTTTTCCGCTTAATACATCAAAAGATACCACTGCTGCTTCCTTGTCTACAGTGACACCATAAACGGACTTCCCATCTACAGCAAAGGCAACATGACCGAGTCTTTTACAGGAAATGGTTCTTGTGATTTTCATTTCATCAGGACTGAACATAGCAATGCGGTTGTTTCCTTGGAATACCCTCAACACACTTTGTTTGCTTAAGACAAACGCAAACGCCCCCTCTACAAGAGTCCAGTACGGTCCCAAAATGTCCTGGAAACGCCTGAACAAACATGACACAGGATCTCCCATCAAAAATCCAGCTTTGCTGGATGATTCATAATCCCAAGGTTCATAGTCAACGTTATCGTTAACAACGTTAAAGGAAAATGTGCCACAAGGTAATTTCATAATGTCTAAGCGAATGCCTTTTGGGTATCTCTCCCACATAGACTTTACTGGTTTACACCAACAAAACAGGAATTTGAGGTTAGGGGCAAACTTGATCATTCCACATGGTAAAAAAGTGGTGACCTCTGCAAGTGTCTCAAAGCAGTTCAACGCATCAACCAAACAAACTAATCGCGAAAGATGAGAAATTGCCAGTAGCTTTCGATCTGGAGACCAGGCAAAAGACAAAACAACCTCACCTCTGTTGCTCCGAGTGATCTCACCACCGGTTTCTAGACTCCACATGACTAAGCATTTTGCATCTTTAGGGCAATCGGTAATCATGCTATCCGCATTAACTGAACACACCGAAAATCTGCAGTTACTCTTAGAGAACAGTGGTAAGAAATCTCCGTCAAATGAGTAGGCATGGCTAAGGACTCCAGGAAGAACAATAGGTTTAGTAGGGTGAAAAACAACAGAGCGATAGCACGACAAAACGGGTGAGTTTAGCACCTCTCTAAATGCGCCATGACCATCAAAGTAAAGTTTTTCTACTATGACTGGACGTTTCCACTTTTGGTTCCCTGTTTCTAGTGACCATAGCTGAATCGTCCCATCCCTACATTCACATACCATGAACTCCTGTTGAGGGGAGATATCAAAGCAGGCCACCTGAGAGGAGCAGGGAAACGGAACTTGGATCCCCATCTGCTTCTCGTCGGCCCCCTTGTGAACGTACTCCATGTAAGGTATTTCATGATATCTGTTCTGTAAAAGTTCTGTTGCTTTACCAGCAAAAACGTCTCCTCCCTCGTTCACCATCACTTGTAAAAAAACAGTAGGATTCGTCGAAAGTCTTTCGTGGTACTTTCTTAATAGAAATAACAACGTGCGAAGGGCGTTTTGGCTCTCACTGTTCAATAACTGAAAGGCTTCTTGTTTCTGACAGAGGATAATGTCCTCAGAACCTCGCAATGTCACCGAATTCTGTACCGTGAACGCCTTTTCTTTTTACGTTACTCAGTTCATCAGTACAGAGCTGAGAAAGCATGACATGACCGTGCTTTTCATCCACAGAGAAGTCGTGTCGCCCGTAGGCAGTTCTGTCAGTCAACCAGTCCTTAACTGACTTGTGGAAGAACACAATGCAGTCATCATGAACAGGTAGAAGGGTTGAGATAGAGTCGATAGCCTTTCTTTCTTTCCGATGACCAGATGGGGACTTCGAGTCCGAAATCAACATGTTAGAAACAAAGTCTAGAGGAAGCGGTTCTCTTGCAGCCGCCAGAGCGCTTAGAAAAGTCAAAAACTGGTCCTCACCAATTTTCAATTCGTTCTCTAAACGTTCAAAGTAGGACTGATAAACAGACGATACACCTGAAGGTAAGATTCTTCCTAACTCCTCGGGGGTAAGAAGTAAATTGTTTTTCTTGATAAAATCGACCATCAAATAAGCATATAAAAAATGCCCTGCAGCCTTTCGGACCAGTGCATCGATAACAACATCTTCAAAGCCCGATTGAATAACGCTGCGGAGCTGTCTTTCAAGAAAGAGTCTGATGTCTTCTACATTTTCTTTATCATCTTGCTCCAGGAGAACAGGGTTGAATTTTTTAAGACGGTCTGCGATATTTATTTCCGGGCGAGTTGTAACACAAAATCGAACCCAACCAGGAAGTGTACTAAACTGATTAGCCATGACATCAAGCAGCTCATTGCGTCCTTTGTATTCACTTTCATCCAGGCCATCAATCACCATGAGCAAGCTTCTTCCCGGATCATCTACATTTATTAAAGGCTCCTCGAACAGCAATTCAAAGACCTCTCCAACCTCTAGGTTGTTGATATCTTCACCCAAATTTCTTGACAGTGCTTTTACAAGTTCTCTTTTATACGGAGGCAAAAACTCACTCAGCTGATAAGCTAACGATTGAAGCATTATCTTAGGATTTCTGGGACGCGCCTTGTTGTGCTGACAAAAATGACTTCCCGTCAGCCGACCAGCATGTCGCATTCTTTGACAAACGACAGCGGAAATCACTGATTTGCCCATTCCTGCATCTCCACTGATTACCATGACACGATTTTTAGAAGTACGGTCGTTTAGCCACAACTCGATCTTCTCAAAGACAGAAATGCGGGTTCCCTCTTGATACTTGTCCAAGTGAGTTTGAATGACTTTCTTGGTGTCAACAACGGCCAGTTTTTTCAGAACCTCATTTTCTTGGTCTTCTTTTCTTCTGTCTTCCTTGAGCTGCAGTACTTCCTGGATTTTGGCTTGAGATTGACGGATATCCTTAAGTTCTGTTTTTATTTCCACATCACTGTCAGCCCACTCAAATAGGGCATCAAGATATCTTCCTCTCCACCACTCTCCGCCTTAAGTCTGTCAATTTCAGCTTGATCCAAACCGAGAGAAAGTAGAGCAGCACTTATTTCTTGCCACAGGGAAGAGAAAATTGCCGCATCAAAAGCAGTGGAAGTCACGTGACCGTACAACTCATTCCGGAAGAACTTAACACGAGCAAGGTTAGCCTCAAGAGAGTTATCACCAGGGGATGGCTTGGTGTGCCATCCTGTCAAGGGAGGGGATAAACCACAAATGTTGGTTAGTAGAAGGAACAGAAGAGTGATGTCAAACGTGTTGGAGTCTGGTACCCCTCCACCAGGGGGAAACAATTTGTCCCACTGATGCCCATTTAGTACTCTTTTACGCAAAAGTTTGTTAAGTATGGAGTAATTGGAGTTGAGGTCAGAAGCCAAGTTGGCAGGTGGGTGATAGTGATCAAAAGTCTTCCTCAGCACTGTTGTTCCGCCATCGATGAGAAGCCTGCTCAGCTTGTTTCCATTTGTCTTTTCTACCGAGCTGGCCAAAGGTGAAGGTGCTGCAGTTGCCATGCTAGTAAAAAGATAGGCAGCATCAGCAACAGTACAATAATTTTATTCTGTTAGTTGCAAAAATAAAAAAATCGGGTATAGTGTGACAGTTCCTATCCGAACAAGTGGTATATAGAGTGAAGGGCACCTGTTAACATGACCTCAAGTCATCACTGCAGGGTTGTAATCACTATGTCATGCTGATGAGCCCAAACGAGGGCAAAACAGTTGTCCATGGCTGCCATTGCCTGGGTTATATGGCTGTGTGTATGCGTATTGGTAAGATACTAGCAAGGCCTTAGGTTGAGGCCTGAGTATATCTATCACTTGCTCTTAAGGTTGTTCTAATAAAATTTTATAAATAAATATGAAGGAAAATGCAATAGTTTGTTGTTTTTAAACAGTGGTATCGGAAAAAAATGACACCATCAAGAAGGAAGGTAAAGGCAAAGGGCGAGATGTCTACCCTTCAGACAGGCAAATACACTAATATAATGCAAAAGATTTATCAATAATTGTAGTTGAATAATAAAAATGCTTTCAGGGAATAAAAAAATATTTTTTCTCCAGATTTCAGCTGTATGCACAGGCGTATGTGCATTGGACGCTATACCCCCAGCACTCCTAATCTTTTCAAGGTAACATCAAAAACAGTGTTGAACTCCATATTGAGATGGAAATATACCTATCCAGCAAAAAGGTTTTTTTGAAGGAGAAGAGTTTGCAAACTATGATCTGTACAGTCGCATCATTCCCCTAAAAACTGTTGGCAAAAGTTTTTCTCTTGGTTTATAAAATGTTATAAAACAGATGGTAAATGGCTCAGCATCCACTACTGAGTTGTGGTTACACTCAGGGGGACTATTGCTTAGCACTCAAGAAGCTATAGAGTCGCAATCAGCTATCACCTTGAGTGACTCTTGTATTTCATTTGTGCTTTGCAGCCATAACTCAAAAATACACTGAGCCATTACCCATTTGTTAAACAGAGAATGACAAGTGTAATGTCCACTCCATTCCGGATTTTCAACTCACGAATGATCATGCCATCACTTACAGTTTTCTGTTTTTCTAACATTAAAGCAGCATTGACACAGTGTCTGGCAGCATTTTATTGTTTGCAATTTGAAGATACATAATATTTTTTCGAGGTGATTCGAAGTGGGCCAAATGCACCATTTTTATAGCCACCTCTTTTTCTGTGTAATTTTGCATTATTTTGAAAGAATTTTTCCGCACAATTTTAATAGTTTGATCTATATAATGACAACTGTCCTAGCCACCCCTTTCTGAAATTTGTGGATCTGCCTCTGATAAAGCCTCTACAAATCATCCATAAATTTCCCAGGCTTAAGTACTTTATGCTCATATTATATATTTATTAAACTCATGAAATTTGGTATGAACAATCATCTGAACTTTACTGATTCCTCGCAATGAATAACTGGATTATGGAAACTATAATTTTGATAGGAAACACTATTTTGTCACTTAAAACTGTTTTTTTAAGCTCTTCTAACTTCAGGAATCTTAACACCCAGGGCCTGGTTCCTGGAACACTGATTAGCGCTTAATCTAGGATTTAAGTTTTGTTCCGTTTTTGTTTTTTACCTTCCTATGCATTGCTTAGAGTTACATTTTGTGGTATCATTACTGTATCTCAGATTAAAGGCTCAATAATATTTTGTAAGCTACAGTTGCATGTTTTTTCGTAGACAAGAAAACCTTGCTTAAAATTTGGCTTAATCCTGGGTTAAACTTGACCATCTTTCGATGAACCGGGCCTAGGGTAAGAGTATTGTTTTGTTATATATACTATAACATTAAATACACGGACAGCTTGATTTTTTTTACCTGCAGGTTGTATTCTAGTCAGAGAGTTTGCCCTATTCCCTAAAAGGGCACTGGCAGGTCAAACTAGTATGAAGAAATAAAACAAGAAATAGTCAATGTATTTTAATGATAAATTAGTGAAATATGAAATCAATTAATTTTTCACACCCAAACAGCTTTAAAGACTAAGAAGTCTGAGCGATAACAGAGAAAATATCTAAGAAAATTGACAGACGTATAATCACCAAAACGTGACCATAATCACCAAAGGAGTAACGAGTCTCCATAAAAGACAATGGCAAAACACAAATGCTGCAATTTTTATAAAGGAAAGTCTGAAGCTGAACTGGAATTTCCAGAGTGTCATATGAAGGGCAGGGAAGTAGGTTCAAACTAACCGACTTAACTTGCAAATAAACTGAACGCATGCAAGGCTGTTGAAACAGCAACAAGAAGATTTATTCCAACTATGAATGTAGTTTCCACCAAGAAAAACTCAGAACTGCATGTAACTCGATAAACCATACACAGCCTCTGCCAGCTCGAATGAGACTGCTTCTGTCATGGTCTTGACTAATCACAACCAATGTCAAACTCTCTTTGCTCGTGAAAACTAGTGAAAACGTTACCTCTGCATGGGAATGCCTTTCTCATCAAACTCCCCACTCCCCAGGAAGAATATACAGGGGAAATGGCAGGAGTATGCATGCTTTAGGAGGAGGCGGCAAGTGTTTGACAATGGAGCAGTTATAAAATGATGTCAGTTGAGTACAACTACCAGAAATCATTTTGTATAAAGTATTTGCTTAAATTTAAAAATCCCACTGAAGTTTGTCAAACAATAGCCTTGATCTGAACACGAAAACAATTTACTGAAGAATCCTGGCCCCAGTTGTTCAGAGGGTAGATGGCACTATCAACTGAAAAAATCACTTAATCCCCCTGGATAGCACGATTGGTTTGCCTAACACTTATCTGTTGGACAGTGAATTATCTGGCACGGTGGATAGCGCTCTCCAACTTTTGAACAACTGGGGCCTGGTAATTGAAGTCGCAGTTTCAACCAATCTTCTTGCTATCATCACCATTTCTTCCGTCTTGCATTAAAGTCTCAAGGCATTGGCGCTTTTCAGAATAGACTAGGCTTTTTGTTGTATAACATTCAGCAACGAATTCAAGGGTTCTGCTCGATGGAAGCTCAAATCGCATAGGGGTTTCATCCATATTGAAGATTCTTGATAGCGAAATAGCCATGGCGCTGCCGAGCTGCAATCACGAACCGATGGAACTGGATCGTCTTCTCTTCCAAATCTTGAGGAAGTCGCTGGGCCAGGGTTGTCTTTGTTCGAAAGCTGATGGCATGGCGCTTTTTCCAATTCTGGTACCAACCCAGGGAAGCTTTAAAGTCTGGATCGCTGCACAACTCCTTCGCCTTCAAGCATAGAATTAATCCGCTAACTGCGATTCCTGTAAAAGACGACACGAGTAGCGATATTTTTACATCATTGTTTTGACAACATTGGAAACTGACCAATCACAAGCGGTCGTTCTCACGGCTTTAGTAAACATGGCAACTCAATCGATATGACAGGAATCAGCTGGTTTTGGTTTAAAACGAAGAACTTACCTGCACTTCTTTGCTCTGAAAACCACTCCAGAAGTGTTTGATCCAATTCAGGATACTTCGGCGCATAACAGCCCATCGTCTTTCGTTTTGCTGACATTTTCAGCTCGCCATTGAACAGGTTCGCTTGATCTTTTCGCCAGCGACGAACCATGGATTCACCGATGCCATATTCTCTGGCAATCTCGGAGTTGTTCTCAACGGCCTCTGCCTCAGCCACAATTTTTAATTTGAAGGCCAAGTTGTATGATGAACGACGAGCTTTTGGCATGATGATCGATTACGGATAACTTTGAAAGAGCGTGTGATTGTTTGAGACAGGATTCTGAACTCAGGTGATGGTTTGTCCACGCGGTTTTATTTATACACTTCTGACACGTCAACTCGGATCACATTAAATTCATCTTACCTGTGATTTGTTGTTATCTTCAGTTAAGAGAACAATAACATTAAATGTGTTATAATGAATATATCAACAAGTGAATATTCATTTTACCATTACGTGTTTCCCGAGAGGGACGCTTCTTTTGTTTTACGGTTTGCCGGTATGTTTATTCACTTAACAGTGCATGTGGAAAAGAAATATTCGATCTCGGCTTATAGCTAGATGTTTTGGGTTTCCTTTTCATAATTTCCTAACAGGTTCTGATACCCAAAAGTTTAGGGTGTCGGCTTATAGCCAAGATCGGCTTATAGGCGAATAAATACGGTAAGCACATTATGTAGGAAGTGTGGGGTAAAATAGACCCTGTCACGGTTTTCGACACCATCTTAATGAGTAGGCAAATGGGTGAGAAATTACAGTGATTGTATGAGAATCTAATGTCAAATAATTTCAATAGAATGGCTGTTCTGAAAAAAATATGATTTGTAAACTAAAGCTTCACTCCTAAGGATTCTACTGAAAAAATTCAAGGGCGTTACATGCACTAGAAGACCTAGAACCACTTTTTAAAATTTTCTATACATTTGTTTGTAAGAAAGTCCCAGGAAAATAACAGACAAATAAATGGAAAATCTAAAGCAAGCCTCTGGAGAAATTTAAGCACAAGTACCCCCCAATTTTTTTAGGGCAATCCTTTGCTTTGTAGCTTTAGTTTACAATTTATATTTTTTTCAGAATAGCCGTTATGTGGAAATTATTCGACATTAGATTCTCATACAAACATTGTAAGATGGCGTCGAAAACAGTGACAAGGTCCATTTTACCCCACACCGCCTACATAATGTGCTTATGTTTTTTTGCTGAATGTTATCCAACAAAAAGCCTACAATAGCCTAGAGTAGGGTTGCAATGTGCAGTTGAATGCTGAGGGTTCCAGGGCAATCTCACAATTTCTGGGCGGTTGTGCCCCAACCCCCCCCCCCCCCCCACCCCCGTCTCCCAAGGACCACGTGGTTATACACAGTCAATAGTCAGCAGTTAATTTTCAGTAAGTTTTAGCTCGCGATATAGAAAAATTTCGCAATTGTCGAGTCAAAGTCGAGTAGAGTTATTAATTTCAACCATCTGTGAAGTGAGCTCGTGATTACACGCTGGACATATTTGATTTCGGTTGATCGAAAGCTAAAATGGACACTCCTGCAAATCACGATCATTCTCATGATCCATGATCAAACGAAATTCACTGGGGACATAGGATCAAGGAAAGAAACAAGACCGACAAAGAGAAAAAGAAAGAAATAAAAATCATAGAAAATAAAGCCTTCTCACCTTTATTCCATTGTCCTTTTGTAAAACTGTTTTCTCTTGTGATTATCACTTCGAATCACAGGATCATGAAAAGAATATTTTCAACCTGAGATCAATGGAAACAATGTCATTCTTTCCGCTTTGGCTAGCACTCTTTTATAGAATGAACAAAATGTTCTTCGTAAAGTCGCTCTTAACTTACCTTTTCGTCAAAATCCAGCGTCAATAAACTGCGAAAGAATCAATAGATGTTCAGTTACATGTTGTAAAACGCGTTTCTAAAAATAATCCCAGAACTCCACGCGCGCGCAGGTGAAAATCCTCATATTAGCCCCCCCGGCGCTAGGGAACCTTTTTTGCAAGGCTGGGGGGCCAGTTGGGGGATTGAGAAGATTGAGGTGATATGGGCATATTACTCAGGTCTCTTAAGGTCAGGATCGTTACAGAGTTGACAAAAGCACCAAACTTTACACAGCGATAGCTTATTGCAGTACCATGAATATTAGAGGGGGTGCCCAATGCAAATATGCCACTGAAGCCTGCTAAACAGGATTTAATTATTGTAAATTTCACCTCCTGGGGTTCCTGTGGTGTTTTGATTGAAAATTGTTATTTAATACCTTAAATCACTCAGAATGCTCTTCTCATGTGGTAAACAACAATTTCACTCGAACGTCTGGCATTCCCATCCATTATTAGCTTATTGATTGTATAATTAAGTTGATTATCACTGTGTCCCCACGTCCACAGTCCGCCCACATTTTCAGAAGTTATTTCTAAGACGGGGCTCGTCTTTGCTTCATAACTTGCAAGTACTCAGCTTCTGGGCTTCTCTTATCCTTTTCTAATGTACTTCAATTAGAGGAGGCCTTATTGTGTGGCTTAAGCCTTATTTATCAAGTATTACTTGTCATTACATGTCACTTTAAGCTAAAGAAGGCGTATGGCATAGCTATTCACACAAAATTTCAGAAAAAAGAAATTGTCAGAGAGTCTGTTGTATCACGTATTATCAGGGATTTATGACAGCTGTTCATGAAGAGCAAATAACGAAATAACAGAACCCAAAATAGTTCTTTCCTAAGGGGGTAATTAATTTTTCAGCTTAACATAGGCCTGGGGCCCGTTTCTCGAAAGTCCCGATAATTAACGGGCCCGGTAAGCTGTCTCTGGTTACATTAAAGATCGAGGTTTCAATAGTTTTGCATCTAACATGATAAAACTGTCAGTTAATGAAACAAAATGGAGTAATTTGCTAGCCAGGACCCGCGCTCTTATTCTTTATATTTCGATTTGAATATTTGATTTCGGGCCCGTAAAGTTACCGGGACTTTCGAGAAACGGGCCCCTGGATGCCTTTCAGTCTATCTCTTTATGTGCTCGACGCACGTGCATATTTTGACAGGGAAGCGAGCATCGTGGCACAAGTCATATCATTTACAATTCCCGCAATTTTTCTAAGCTTTACAAAGCAAAAACAAACAAAAAAGAATCTGGTCTCATAAACGAAAAAAAGAAATTAGTTAGCCCAAGTTTCAAAAAACAGCACAGTTTATCATGAAGCCTCTACATTTGGCACTGAAGCACTCATGTCCAAAAATAATAACAGCTTATCAAGTCGTAAAAGTGTTGAATAAGTTTGAACGGAATTTTGTACTAGTGCCCAGTCCCCTCATCAGACGGTTTTCGCGGAATTTCGTCCCTTTCTAAAAGATTAACTTAAAAGGCCCGGCCACAGAAATGATATACCTATTAGTCTCATCACTATGACGATCACTGTAACTTCCAGAAAGTAATGAAAAATGGTGCCATTTTGCCAAATAGAATTTTGAGCTAAAAATAGCCTTGATAGGTCACATGACAATTAATGACTGCAATCATAATTCAATGTTATTGAAGTTACACCCAGGTAGTCTGTCCAAAAGTTATTTTACGCCATATTGAACGCTTAAAAAGTTAAACCACACCCTCCGTTTTTGAGGAATTAAGTAGAAGACCCATACCTTAATTTTCTTGAGTATAAGGGATAATTGACAAAATAATTTCAGGGATAAAGGGTTACGGTTCTACATTAATTATAACAGATTCACGAATTTTAGAATTAAGCGTTTTTTTTTACCCTGACCAACCAAGCTCCGAGGGAAGTGGCAGGGTAAGTTCGCAGAAAAACTCCGAATATCATAAACGAAAGGTTATCCAGAAATTTTTAGACTTTGTCACCTGCCGCTCTACAGCTTAAATTTCTCGCGCAATATTTGCTCCTTCGAATAGTAATTTTAAAGAAAAAAAGTCGTTGGGGCCCCCGTAAGTTTGGCTCGATAGGACAGCGTATGGGTTCCCTGAGATATATCCCAAATTACGCTCTTAAGTTAAATGATCATTGGCATTGGTGGATGGTAATGTTGGATGCGATGCCAGTTGAGATACTGACAACTACATTAAATTCATTATCCCAATGTACAAACAAATGATTGTCTACAACAAGTAATATCTCCCAACACCTTTATTTCTTTGTCAGGTTTGGCTCACTGAGTATTGATCGCCCACTATAATTCTACATGTGAGACGTGAGACTAGCCTACAATTTCAGTAGCTTCACAACAGCTGTGGGCCAGACTCATTTCTTCTCCATCTGGCAAACAATAACTCGGGGATTCGAACAGGGTTCGTCATTCCACTTTCCTTTGCCACTTCCGCTGACGTACATCGTCCCACAGTTCTCTGATCCAGGATCGTTAGGCTCACCGGTATTCCATGCAGAGAAGGCCACAGTAGTCCCGTCGAGCCATTCAAAGACGTTGTCGCCGTTGGGTCCTATCATTCCAAGCCATGGATCACCTTTTCCCTCCGTCAGACTCACAAGGAAGGCGTTCTCCTCGGCTGATTTGATGATTGGCAGGCTTGCTCCTAGTTGCTTGCATAGGTAAAGTCCCACAAATGCTTCCTTTTTTTCGTGGAGTATAAAGTAGCACTGATTTCCGTTTTCAACCCAGCCCACTGGACAAACTAAACCGAGATACAAAACATAATTTTCCTTGTAAGTCTTTCTAATGAAATAAGGTTTGGAAAACGACGAACCTTGTCATAAGCATTTTTCACATTTTTCGCGGATGAGAAACTGCTCAAAAAAACTGTTGTGAAAAAATAATTATTAATTCATTGCATATTACAGCGAATTGAGTTGGAAAATAAGGATATCAGTTGGCTTACATAGTTCTCTGTCCTTCCGATACCTTTTCAAATGTCTTCTGAAAGCCTACCTCAGCCCTCCCCCGCGGCCAGGAGTCTAAATTCAACCTACAAAACCCTAATTGCGTACGCTTTGCCTAGTCCCTGTCGGCGTCTTTCCAGGCCCTCTCGGTTAATACATTTAGCTGACGAAAAAATCGCTCGGACCACGTGACCCGAAATGCATCAGCCGGTGTGCAATAACGAGGTCTGGGGTCTAGGCCAAGGTACGCCTACGAACATATAATTATCTTGCTAAGAAACTATGCCATCCTAATTGCTAACTTTTTTAAAAAGCTGAAACGTGTCTTCGCATCGATTGAACTCCAAAAATAATGGTCCAGTTTCGTTATGCTGCTCTGTGTATTCTTACCATTTGTGATACGTGTAGTGTACTCTATTATAACTTCAAACTTGGAATGAAAAGCGTCTTAATCAAGGAAACAATGAAGGAAATAAAAGGCAACATCATTGGTGGCAAATTACTCCTTAATTTTGGCGCGAAAATAAAATTTCACATCGGGAGCCGAGTACAAAATTGCTATAATAGGGACCTTAAGATCCAAGGACGGCGACGGCAGAGAAAACGTCGCTGAAAAATTGAAATCGCGTTCTTTCAGTCTTCATCGCGATTACTCCAAGTAACTAACTTTGTCAAATTTAGGCGAACCCTCCTAAAGTTGAATTCCTAAGAACCATATGCAAGTTTATGTCTCTCTTTTTTTTCTTCACTGACCAAATTTTGAAATTAAAACAGTTAACTGATCCTTACTGGAGGAAGTGCATGGCTTATTAACTCAAATATCCCCCAGAAAGTGATCACGAGTAGATTACAAGTAGTCCTCATTTTTCCTCAGGAATAGTAGAGCGAGCGAAACGCGAGCGCGCGTGAAAATCGCCCCACGCGAGAAAGGCGAGACGCGGCGGGGACAAGGCAGCTTGAAAAGTCAAAACGTTGTCCAGTCCTTGAATGAGACAATGTGAAAATAGGACTGTTTAGCCTCCTCTCAGGATATTGAAATAGCTAAAAGTATAAAACTTACATTACTGTTAGTTATCAAAGAAAAAGTGTAAGTAGTATTTCGTGCCATTTCCGAACACTTAGCCATCAAAATTTCACCGTGGGAGTAGCCCTCGAACCCCCTCTTAGTATGATCACCTTTTTCGCATCTTGGGATTGCAAGTTCTGCTTCCTGGTCCCTGGCATAACCCACAGCCAGGAGACTCAGAACCACGATAAACAACAGGCCGTTCATCTTTCACTCTTCTTTGACAACAGATTGATATCAATAGAAACTGAAAACCAAAATAAAAAATGTCATATTAAAATCTTCAAAGCTGGTCGCACTTTGTGAAAATTATAATTTGCAAGACATCAACCAACCTTTTCAAAGTTTTAACGCAGCTGTGCCTTCAGATTTCACCAAGAAAGATTATTACGATTAGTGCTCTCTGATGAAATTTGTATTCATAGACCTACAGGGACATTTTCTGAATGGGTGAAGGCACTAAGAAATGTCTTCAGCAGAGAATTGACCTAAAAAAGCAACTCCTCGTTACATAGTACCCTTCAAAAGTGGTCTATCACAAAACAAACTGTCTCATCCAACTGAAAACTTCTAAAAGGGTGAGCGACAAAACGCTCTCACCTGAAACTAAAGTCTTAGAAGGATTGACGATTTTTAGATGAAAATCTTGATTACGTCTCATGGAAACCAAGAATCAAGGATTTTTACCAAGTAAAAAGGACAACCAATGCATTGATCGCGAACGGGTTAAAACGTTCTAAAATAAGTTTTTCACAGGACAATGCCTTAGCAAAATTAATCTTAACGTCTTAATTCTTAACGCAAGACAAAGGCAAGCCTATTAGTAGAATTCAGTGTTGGGAACCAAAAATGTCATCGTTCACGCACGAAAAACTAAACATTATACACGTTTTAAAAATAATTTAATAGCCTAAAGAACAACCAACCATACCACTTAACAAAGAATTCATGGTAAATATCGAGCAGAAAAATCAAACAAAATTAGTTCTTTGACGAGGTCACGAATTTATATTTCTTTCTTTTTTATATTCTCAGAGAAAAAACGATGATGAATTTTTACGAAACCTTGGCCATTTAGTTTTAGGGTGGCGACTTATAATTGTGTACTAAATCAAGAACATATGAAAATCAGGGGCACCCAACGTCAATTATCGGAAAACATCTGTTCGGAAGACGATTTGAGATCTAGAATTTTCGGAACATTTGTTGTAAAATTTCTTGCTTGCATGCCTCTCCTAGGATTTTCGAACATCTAAAAAATCGTATAATTGCCCATTTTTTACGGATTTTTACCCTAAAAAGGTTACCTAGAATTTTCGGGAACCTTTCTTCTGGCTGAAATTTTCGAAAAGGTAAGCTTTGATCCCTATAATTTTCGGATCACTAGACTTTCAGCTAGGAAATCCGAACAGATGAAAAAATTTTAGGGGATAAAAATATGCCTATATCTACCATTTAAATATTAAAATACGTTCAACAATGTTATGTTTAAGTGGTTTTGAACTATATTCTCGTTGGGTGCTCCTGGAAAATCTCAAGTGGTACTTAAAATCTAGTATACCGATTCACTTACCCAATGAGTTAACGCTGAAGGAGATACCACAAGTTTATGACTTGTACCTGTTTTCTTGCCTATAATTATATGGTCATTTAACAAATCAAATAACCTCTATTCAAGAATTTTGCTAAGAAACGTTTATACTTCAGTAACAATGTAAATTGAAGGATCAAATTTAACGTATTCGATACAGAAACTAGCTGAACATTCTTTCTAGGATTTGTTTACAAATCGACTTTTCCTAGTTAAACTTGACAACTGTTTTGACTGTGAAATTTAACCGGCATCAAAGCCA